CTCTTTCTTTTTTTTGAAAAAAGGCAGAACCTCAAAGACCCCTAACTAAAAAAATAAATAAAAAATTCTGTCCTAGGATAATTGGTGTGATTTTAAAATTATAGTCTTTCCAGAAAAATGTGGCTGCTGGTGCCTCCTTGGGGCTTCTGCGGAATGGAGTCTTTCTGAGGTACGCCTCATAGAAGCCCAAAAGCCACATACTGTAAACTGGGTTTTGCTTGGCTCCATGTCCTCACCATCCTCATTTATTCGCCCCACCAATTTTATATTACTGGGTGGTAAACTCACCATATTCTGGCTGCTCTTTGGTTTCAAAAGTCCGGTGGCCTGGGGCTGGACGGTCCCACCCCCGGGGAGGGTTGAGGAAGTTGCTGTCATCTGAGGTACTGTCGTACTTGTAGTCCTGGTCCCCGCTGTTGGCCCTCGACAAGGACAAGGACCTCTGCCACCAGGCCCGCCAGTCGGGGGATGGGACTGACCAGCTGGGCTTATTCTCCGGATGCTGATCTTTATCTGCTTCAGAGTCAGGACCGTCCACCACCTCTATGGTGACCTGAAGAATTCAGAACAGGCCAGGGTCAGTGAGGCGTCAGTAGCCTCCAAGCTGGGTGACCCTTGGAAGAAAGTGAGACCAGAAGCAAACGATGGATGTGTCCCTCATGAAGGATAGCAGAGACTGCGTGGTGATACAGATGGAAAGCATCCAGGGATGGCCCAAGTGAACCCCATGACTAGAGACAGTGATGTACATGGGCCTCGCATGGAAGAAGACAATTCATCACTAAGGTCACTGATTTACTGATGACTACACTGCTGGGAAGTCTTTAAGTCAAGGAGTAAACATGTACTGTATATGTTCCTGAAGGGACACAAGAATAATTCTAATAAAACCGAACAGTTACTAAGTACTCTCTCTGTGCCAGGCACTGTTCTAAATGCTATTCCATATATTAACTCACTTCATCCTCATAACAACCTTGTAAGTTTGGTTGATTGGCCCCTATGATTGACGATCTGCGGAGATGGTCCTGGCCGTCCCTCCCATCCTTGTGTACATGTGCCACACCTCCCATCCAGAGGTGGAGTTTACCTCCTCTCCCTTTCTACCTGGGCTGGGCTTGTGACACGCTTTGTCCAGTAGAATGTGGAAGGTGTTGCAATGTGACAAATCTCACCAGATCCTGCAGCTTCCATTTTCATTCCCTTGGAAAGTTTCTACCATTATGTAAGGAAGCCCAGCCTAGACTACTGCATACAGGGACCTCATGAAGAGAGAGGCCGCAGAGAAGGGAACTGAGGCTCCTTAGCTGCTGGCCAGCTCCACGGTCCCAGTCATACGAGTGGGGCCATCTTGGATCCTCCAGCCCAGTTGGGTCATCCTACCTGATATCATGTAGCACAGAGATGAGCTCTGCCAGCTGAGCCCTGCTTGAATTCCTGACCCAAAGGGACCACGAGCAATCTGATGGTTGTTGCTTCAAGCTATTGAGTTTTGGAGTGGTTGTCAGACAGCAACAGATAGCTTTTTGTAGACAGAGAAAACTGGCACACAGAGAAGTTAACTTGCCTAAGGTCACACAGCTAGTAAATGGCAGACATGGCTAGTCTAGCTCCAGAGCCCACGCTCTTACCAACTTTGCCATACGGCCCCTCAATAAGTAAGAAACAGAGGTACTGTCCCCTCATGCAACCAAGGGAGCACAGAGGCCACAGAGGCCCATGAGGCTGGATGCCACAGGTAGTGTAGAGATGTGAACACAAGGTCCTCAGGTCCAGGCTTTCACAGCTGTGATTTTCACTCATTCTGCAGTCCAGCAAATACACCCCTCAACCAACCCTCAGGTTCAAAATAGATAGTCCCAGAGCCAAGGTTAGAACTTGCTCTCTAATTTACTGAGCCTAGTTTGGAAGCCACGGGGCTGGAAGAATGCAGCTTCTTGGCTCAGAGAGACAATCAACGTAGAGAAACTTGTTTAAAAAATATAATAAAAACTCATTGGGTTCCTTTGGCCATCACATAGCTCTTGCAACACCCCCTGGATGAGTTATGTGCAAATGAATCAGAAACACGTGCTCCAAGTAATCAGCGCAAGATGTACTGGGCAGATGGATTTCTAGTTTTGCCCTAACCCGACATCTGAGAGAGTTGCCGGGATGCTCTGCCAAATTGCACCAGGGTGTGCCCATCCTGAGACAAACAGCCTCTTACTTTTGTGTTAGGAATGGGAAGGTTTGAATTGCACTCACTTTAACATTCAGAAGAAGTTGCCCGGCTGATGGTGGGCCTGGGCTGTGGCCTTGTGTGGTCCAAACACAAGGTCAACAGTGTGGCCAGAGTATACTTGGGCTAGGGCAGGTCAAGTGTATCTTCCCTCCAGTGTGGGATGCCTAGAAGGGCACCGCTGGATTTATTCCATGCTTGCACCATTACCCCAGTCTCCTTAGCACCCCTTGCATATGTATAAATAATTATGAAACGTTTAGCAATCCCCCAAAAAGAAAAAAAGAAGAGAAGGAAATGAATGCATCATGTCTTGTATCACTGCTGTTTGCTAGAATGGATGGTTGCTGGGGAGTGACAGCGACTGGGACCCACACACAACCCTGGAAGGACAAGTGCACAGCTGGGCTGTGACAGAGCACTACTGAGCCTTTGGAGGCATAACTTTTCTCCTCCGCAGTCCCCTCCCCTCTGCCTGCAGACAGAACAACTGAGCCTCAACAATCGTCTGCAAGGCTGTTAAGGGTCTTGGAGGGGAGAAGCTGCCAAGAGCCAGGCAAGCCTGCAATTATGGTAATGAAATCAGTCTCTGGGTAGGAGATAAGGGGGAACATGCCCAACAGTTTTGGTATCCATTTGTATTCAGACTGGAGTCGAAGGGATTGCCTAAACAAAACGTGCCCTGCAATTTCTCCAAGCTGGGAATAAAAACAATTTCATGTTTGAAGCTATTACCGTCAATATAATTCTTTTCCTTCCAAACCAGTGCTCAGATCCAAACAAAATAGATTTGTTGCCTGGCCAGGCAATGAGTAGCAAAATACGAATTTACTCCAAAAACTATATCGATGACTAAATCTCAACAGTTTAGAGGTTTCTTTTTCCCCTTTAATTTCTAGCCACTGCCTCAACAGAATTAAAAACAAAAAAAACCACGCAAGCCTTAGGATCCGCCCTTCCCTACAGTTAATGTGGAAACCTCATACTGATATCAAAAGAAGAAATCTAATCTTGAACCTGAAATTTCATAGGCATACAATTAAAAAGACTTAATGAGCAATGATCAATGACTTCTCGAATGATGGGGATTAGTTTTATGTTTCCTGTTGCTCTCACTCTACTTACACGTTCTTTGGCATCAAAGAGTCCTTTTATAAAAATGTCTTAAACAATAATCGATGTGATGAGCTTAAGGTGTGGGAGTGAGCACAGCAGATTTCCAAGCAGATAAAGACTCTAGGTCTTGCCATCCTTTCTCTTCCTTAATGCACATAATTGAAGTATGTGAGTATATTTGTTTCTTCTGGACTTTTCCACATCATGAATCAAGACAATAAAAGAAAGAAAACTCTTTCAAAATCTCCAAGCCCAACTTCTGGCAGAATCTCTTCAGCTTCAAAAAAACAAAGCTCAATATCAGTGCCAATTTGGGGAATTCTGTCCAAAATCGGGATGCGAGGGTCCTAGGCAACATGACCAGTTTCTTTCTTCCTCTTGGTAGTTAAAATATTTATTAGAAACAAACTCTTTATACTTTCTCTGAAAACCACTTTCCATAGGGAAACTAACAATTATCAGTCTAACTGATAATAAACCGCAAAATACAAAAGACTTGACCTTCTGAACATGGCAGAATCTTCTAGAATCTTCTAGCTCATTGGTCCTATAAGCCTTGTGAGCTTGGTGACTAGGCAGGCATGAGGTGATATTTCCCAGACAGTAAGATAAGCCCTGAGAGGTGAATTGATTCCTCAGGAACACAGAGCACCCAGGGACAGGAAGACAGTCTCCAGCGTAGGATTGGGCCCCAGATTACGCACCCTCCTTCCTTGACAATTGCTACAGAAAGAAGACAAAATGGACCTGGAGGTCATATAGTCCCTTCCTCTCAGGCCCACTGATGCTCTAACAACTCTGGCCGCCCCGGCTAACTGCATTAATGCTCTGACACTTGCAGCGTGCTTGCCCAAACATTACTGCTCGCTCTACAGAAATTAGACCTAAGTGTTAGGCACAGAGACTGGCCTGGAGAATTCAATTTTCTGAGGTGAACAGCAAGGAAGATGTCGAGCTGATCTCAAAACTGTGTCTCCTAATTTCCAATCGTTTCATACACATGTCCTCTGCCATCTTCACTATATTGTCATCAACCGGCACCTATCCTTTCGGGAAAGCTTATCATCACAAAGCCCTGTGCTAAGCGCTTCCCATGGTGACCTCACTCTTAACAACCCTACTCCTGTGTAGTATCATGCTACACAGATATTCATAGGTGGTATTATCACTTTGGTTTTACAGGGAAGGAAACTGAGGCATAGAGAGGTAGAGTAGCCCGCATGAAGCCACAGAGGCCAATGAGGAGCTGAACAGTACAGGCTTGGCCCCATGGGTAGGTGGGCCTACGTCTTGGGCACAGAAATGTCTTGATTGTTACGCAGCCAAACCTGCCGTTCCAAGAGTGTATTAGAGAAAAAGGAGGCAGGGAAATCAGAAGTAGAAACCCGTACGACTTTTAGAGCCCGGGCCAACTCATTTGATTGTATCTCGTGGCACTCAAGAGGCCTAGGCCTATGGCCACGTAAATACATCTGTGAAAGGGAGAAAAAGGCCTTTAGATGACTATTTTTAAGTCTCTCTCAATGGAAGAAAAGAAATCAGTACATTGGTTGAAATGAATACTAATCTCATCTTGATCCAAAAAAGAGAAATAGTTGGTTGTGACAGGCTACCGTGGTAATGAATTGATGCAGTAAGCCTAATAATGAGTTTATTTTAGAGATTTTTGTCTTTGCTATCTGACCATCAGCTACAGACCACAACCCGGCCAAGGATATTAAAGTTCAAGCCTAACTTGTCCTGGGGGATCTACTTTCTTTCTTGACTGGTTTATTTATTTATTTTTTAAACAAAACCCAACTTCTAGTATTGTTTTAAATTTAATATGGAGATTGGGTTTAGGGGTTTGAGGCTATTTCTTTCTGTTTTGCACACTGTTGTGTGTGTTTTTCTCACTCGCACAGCCTGAGGCCAGTCTTGAAATGGAGAGCCTGATCCACTTGGGACAGAGGCCACCTGGCTCACGGGGGTTAAACAAAGCTCTACAAAGCAGGGCTTTTTAAAGGCTTTCCCTTCCTGGGAGTCAAGAGGCCCGAGAGGGATGTGGCCCCTTGCCTGGCTCAGCATTGTCACTTTGGAAAGGTGTGGGCTGTTTGGCAGGAGGGACAGTGGACCCCGGCCCTGGGGCGTGGGAAACGCTTCCAGACACTAAAGGGGTTGGGGGTGGTTCAGAGAGAGGGGTATCGAATTCCTGTTCAGCTACCCAGCTCCAGTCAGAAATAAATAGGTGGGGGTGAGGGGCAGTTTGCCAGAGGGGGGGGGAGGCAGGCCCGGGGCCCTGGCAGCGGAAGCCAACCCACTGAAGCGCCCTTCACCTGTCTTCACTCTGCTCCCCAGGGAGAGAAAATGCTTTCAGGGGACCTCGGTGACCAGCAGGGCTGTCTGCTTGGCTGAATCTGCCTGTGTCAAACCAGTGGGTTTCAACAAAAGAGCAGCGCTTGCAGGAAGGGGTGAGGGCTGCCAACACGGAAACCATCACCCCCTTGGAGGAAGCACCTCATCTTTTAAAGGACCACCAGGGAACTGGTTTACTCAAGTGCAGTGGTGCATGGGGCTGCCGCGGCCAGTAGTGTGTGTGTGTGTGTGTGTGTGTACTCGCGTGCCCATCCATGTGTACGTGCATTCACACACTCACACGCAGACCTAGGGCTGGGGCTCCCACGGGTAGCAGCTGCTTCGTTCTTTCTTTGACTATCTTTCTGAGTGACCAACATTAACCTTTTGTGGTCTTCCAAAAAGAGAAGGCCAGAAATGCAGCTCCATTTTCTTTTCTTTAGGGCCAACAGGTCATTTGATCAATAAAACACAGGCCACCCCACTCTTCCGTCCTGCCTGTGGAAGGTTAGCAGACACAGGGATGGTGCACAGAGAAAGGGACTGACCCAAGGGGGCAGTGGGCAAAAAGTCAGTGTTGGCCTAGTCTTTGGAGTTTTTGACCAGGATTTTCATTAGTTTCTAAGCCATCCTGCCAATAACCCTGATATTCGGAGCTATGGGGAAACCTATGTTCTCGGGGCTGTGATGATTTTTGCTGTTTAAAGGGTAACTGAAAAGTCTGTGACCCCACGGGAGTGGCCCCGTCCCTCTCCCGACCCCGAGCTCCGAGCATTTCTTTCAGAAGCAGCACCTGGACGGGAGCTTCTCGTTCCTGCGCTGGGTGGGGGGACACAGAGGGAAACAAAGCGCCGATTGTTCCTTTTCACCTGTTCTGTCTATATGAACAGGTGGCTCGGGGGTCTCAGAGGAGAGGAGGGCAAATAACTTCTGCTTGTCCTATCTCTGCAGCCCCAGCTTTGTGACGGGCGTGGGGAGGCCGTGTTTGATACAAGTCCCAGAGCCTTTGCCGGGGGAACCCTGTGGCCCTCCACTGAATTCTTAGTTCTCCCCACACCTGGAAGCTCCAACAGCCCCCTCGGCCCTCAGGAAGCCATCGAAACTGCTGAAGAATTCTTTACCTCCCGTCGGGCTAAACAACAGCATATTTTGATGAAAAATGAGTTGCAACCTCCACTGCTCTCCTGAGCTCACCCGCGGCTCCATCATGTGGGCCGTGGAGGGCTTAGCATCGCACAGTTGCCTTCTCTTTTTGGAAAAGTCGGGTGGGCTTCCCAGCTCCGTGGGTCCCAACTGCTTTTGCACTACTGTTCTTTCCTAACATTTAGGTGATATTTTTCAAGGGTCCCAGTGTGGTCTAGGTGGAGTGTGAGGGTTTCCTGATGGATGAATTCATCTGGGAGAGAGAAAGGGGATCTTGAGAAACTTGGTTCTTGGGGTGAAGCCCCAAGCACTTGGTAACGTGTCAATGAGGGGAAGCACTCACTGAGGCCTTGTGTTCCCCTGCGTCCAGATATATTCTGACTTTACATTAGTCATTTCAAAATATATTACACTCATAGCTCAGTCCTCAGCATTGAGCCCCACAGTGCCATTTCCCACCTCTGGGAAAAAAGCATGAGCCATAGCAAGCCTAAAATCGTTCCAGGCAGGGCCTAAGCACCTTGGGGGTAAGGGCAGTCTGGTCCCATAAAATCTGTGGACAAAGAAAAATCACTTCCAATAGAGGAAGGCACGAT